GACTGTGCTGGGGGTCCCAGTGTCAGTGTTGGGGGACTGTGCTGGGGGTCCCAGGGCTAGTGTTGGGGCACTGAGCCAGGGGGTTCCAATGCCAGTGTTGGAGGACTGTGCCGGGGGGTTCCAGTGCCAGTGTTGGGTGTCCCAAGGGGAGAGTTTGCCGTAGTGACCTGTGAAGCTGACAGGTGTGGGGCGAGAAGACCCGGACTCTATTGGCGATGTAGAGGGTGGGGAGAGGATGGAGGGTGGGGAGAGGATGCCTGGAACAGGTCAGACAGGCCGCCTTTCAGCTGTATCCGGTAAATGCCAGCCACTGTTTGGAGAGAAACCTGGGGCTGGGGAGGGAATTGCAGGAGGCGGAGGGAGTGATAAGGAGGGGCAGAGGGAGGGAGCGAGGGGGAGGAGGCGGGGGGGGGAGTGACGGGGAGGGGGGGGGGGGGGAGGAATGGGGTGGGGGCGGAGGTGGAAGGGGATGAGTGACGTCGATCTCAGACCTGAGGAACAGAGGGATTTCAGTATTAAAGCTGGCCAGGGTAGTTTTCAGAGATAGTAAGAACTGCCGATGCTGGAGTCAGAGATAACACAGTGTTATCCCGGACTCCCGAAAATTTCCGCGACCCGAAACGTCAGCTTTCCTGCTCCTCTGATGCTGCCTGGCCTGCTGTGTTCATCCAGCTCTACACCGTGTTATCTCAGGGTAGTTTTCAACCTTCAGAGCAAGGAGTTTCCGGCTTTAGGGAGACTTACTGGACCCAACTGGTTGTGTGTTCCCCGTGTATCAGATATCCATCCGTTGCACGTGTCTGCACTGTGACCCTGTAAGTGTAGTGGAACCAAACCAGTCTCCGCTGACTGTGGAGTCGGAAAAGGCAATATTTCAGAGCGGGAAATAGTACTCCTTCCTTCTCACTGCCATTACGCCGAGCAATAGCGGAGCTTGAGTTTAAGAGGCGAAACAGGGGCACTTCCCAGTAATTATGAGCACCTTGTCTCTTCCCCTCAATGCGCCGTTCAATCTCCCTGCGACATTAAAAGCTTCCTCACAAGTGTTGGACACTGAATTCAACAAAATGTGACCCTTTCGTTGACTGCTCCTTTCCTCCAGATGCTGCCCGGCCTGCTGTGTTCTTCCAGCCTCCCGTCTGTCTACCTGGACTCCAGTGTCTGCAGTTTTCATTTTGTCTCTAAGAATATGACCCTTGTTGGTTTGAGCGCTGGACTCAGTCCGCAGGGTTAATACCAGTCCCCGTTGAATCTGGTAGTTAAGAGATCAACAGACGTTACCCGCTCTGTCTTGGCAATGCTATATTGATGGAGTAACCAAAGAAATCCACCTTGTTTAAATTCTGTGGCGCTGCATTATACAGAGTTACTGTGGGATTTCCGTTTAAATATTTACTGTACGGTATCGATCCTGGATTGATTGAGATTCCAAACTGTCCAGTACAAAAAGGAGTTAACGCTAATGGTTTTATTGAGTTGGGGGATTCCGGGTAGCTAGCCCCCAGCCTCACCCCGAGTTAATGACTCCCGATCAATGGGCATTTTAGTCATCCACAAAAATCTGATCCTTTAACCCCTTGTACCCTAGAGATAGTGGAGGTCCTCGCCCACACTTGGCAATGTTATTGAACTCAGTGACTTTCTTTTTCACGATATTTTCCGGTAAACCTGTTCAGAGGTTTGATGACATATAACTGGAGCAGATGGGACTTGAACCCTGGGCCTCCCGGTCCAGAGGTTCACTACCACTGCATCAGAGGACCCCCAATGCCCTCGTCTATCAGAATGGTGCTCTACAACCAGACATGTTGCCAGCTCGGGATTACTGACACATTTTGGTTCTCCCTGACCTCCGTCCTCCCTCCCTCTCGCCCTCCCCCGGACAAAGTGAACTCCGATGCGTTGATGTTGATCCAAGTAACCGTTTCAGAATCTCTCCAAACCGCAGCCACCAGCAAACCCCCCCCCCCCCGCCCCCTTTCCCCACACAGCCATGTGCGCCTTAAGCACACTTTTCTTTGTACCAATTTCTGTTGGACAAAGATTCGAACCAGATCTTTCTGCACAGGAAGGCAGTGAACACACTGCATTCCCCCCTCTTCCCACGGTATATCGGCCTGGCGCTTTTAAACGCATTATTGTTCAGCGTTCGTGACAGCCCCGAGCCCTTCATCCCCTCCCGACGGCCGTGGATTTATTGAAAGCAATTTCCACAGCTGTGGCCGCGGCGGGATTTGAAGCAACGAACCCTTATGATTGCGAGGGATGACAGGCAGCATTGTCCGGGCAATGTGAGAGTGATGCAGACTGACAGTGCAAGGCCTCTGTCGGGCTGTTGACTTGTATTTTTCTGTGTGTGTGGGTCCATTCAGCACAGGCTATCAACACCCACCCCCCAATCTCCTCCCTCTCCCGCAATTGGTCCCCACGACTGTTCAACGCCACACAAAGGTATCATTGAACTGCCAGAGGGACTGGTGTCACCAGCACTGGGGGCTTGGGGGATGGTGGGGACGAGTAGACAGTAACTGATGGAGATGCAATTCCCGACGCACCCAGAAAATAATTTTTAAATCCGATGCCATTAAAAAAAAAACCGACAGCCCTTCTGTGCGTTCCAGGCATCGCCACTGCTGTGTGTATGTGAGGGGGAAGGGACATAATGTGGAGGTGTCCGTCTTGGAACCGAGTGGACAGATTAAAAATCACAGAGTACCAGGTTATAGTCCAACAGGTACATTCATTTATTTATTCATGTATGTATTTATAGTTGGACTATAACTGGGAGAAGAGGGCTGGTTTGGGGGTGGTGTGTGTATGTGTGTGTGTTGGGAGAGTTGGGGCTGGCCTGGGATGGTGTGTGTGTGTGTGTGTGTGTGTTGTGTTGTGGGGGTATGGGACCGGTTCGGGGTCCTATGTTTGCATGTTGGGAGAGGTGGGGTTGGTTTCGGGGTGGTGTTTGTGTGGTGGGGGTGGTTTCGGGGTGGTGTGTTGTGGGGGCATGGGGCTGGTTTAG